ACGTTGGAATTGAACCAAACTTGGCACATATGACACCCACGACCAACAGAAAATACTGGAAGGGTTTGCTGGGCATTGACCTTGAGTTTTGGAGTTGTAGTTCACCTACATCCAGAGAGCACTGTGGAGTCAAACAATGATGGATCTGGACCAAACTTGGCACAAATACTCAGTACGCCCAACGTGAACACCGGTGGAGTTTGGCGAAAATAGACCTTGTCATTTGGGCGTTGTTGTTGCTGGGATTTATAATTCACCTACAATCAAAGAGCATTCTGAACTCCACCAACGATAGAATTGGGCCCAACTTACCACACAGAACCCCCATGCCTTGAAGGGACGGACTCGCTGGCGCGTACCTCCCTCCAGCCTCACACACTCTCCCTCGCTTGCACATATGCACCACGTTGCCATGCACTGACCACGCCTGCTCTCCCCTCCCTGCTTGGCATCTCAGAAACAGCCCTCTCCTTGACTGAGAGGCTGGCTGAGAAGCCGGCCAATCACAGCAGAGGAGGGCTTTTGGTGGGAGGATTCGCCCTATGTTTCCAAAAAGGAAGAGAAGGGCAGGCAGAAAGATCTTCAGCATTCTCTACCAAAGGGGTTCCTAAGACCATCAGAAATATATGTTTTCTGATGGTCTTTGACGACCCCTCTGAAACCCCCTCATGATCCTCCCAGGGGTCCCACCCCCCAAGTTGAGAAACGCTGGCTTTGATGAAGGTTTAGAGGGCAGGCTGATCAAGTTTGCAGACGGGACAAAATTGGGAGGGATAGTTAATACTCCAGAGGACAGGATCAGAATTCAAAACGTTCCCCACAGATGAGAGAGCTAATCAGCCAAAACTAACAAAATGAATTTTAACAAGGACAAAGGTAAGATACGGCACTTATGCAGGAAAAAATAAATGCAAAGATACAGAATGGGTGGCACCTGGCTCAACAATAGTCCATTTGAAAAAGATCTTGGAGTCTTTGTGGACAACAAGCTGAACATGAGCCAAGAGTGTGATGCAGCAGCTAAGAAAGTCAATGGGATTTTGATCTGCATCAAAAGGAGCCTAGTCTCTAGATCAAGAGAAATAATGGTGCCCCTCTATTCTGCTTGGTCAGACCTCAACTGGAATCTGTGTTCAATTCTGGGCACCACAATTTAAGAGAGATATTGACTCTAAGTCAATAAGAGGGCGACAAAGGATCAAAGGTCTGGAGACCATGAATAATCCCTCTGAGGAGCAGCTTAAAGAGCTGGGTCTGCTTAGCTGCAGAAGAGAAGGTTGAGGGGAGACACGAGAGCCATGTATACCTATATGGTGAGGACGAGGGAGCAGGCTTGCTTTCTGCTGCCCTGGAGACTAGGACTCAATGGAGCCATGAGTTCAAATGACAGGAAAGATTCCACTTGAACATTAGGAAGAACTTCCTGGCTGTAAGAAGAGCAGTTCACCAGTAAAACTCTCTGCCTTGGAGTCCAGTGGAAGCTCCTTCTTTGGAGGCTTTTAAGCAGAGGCCAGATGGCCATCTTTCAAGAAGGTTTTGAATGTGCTTTTCCTGAATGGCAGAGGGGGTTTGGACTGGATGGCCCCTGGGGTCTCTTCCAACGCTATGATTCTATAATGCAGCCCATAATGCAGTGGTCTTTTTCACTACTGCATTACACTCCTGACTCAGGTTCAACTGTGGTCCCTTAAGACTCCTAGATCCCTTTGACCTGGAGTGTTTTCAAGCCAGGTGTCACCCATCCTATATCTGTGCATTTCATTTCATGTTAGTACCGTACATTTCTCCCTGTTGACCTTCATTGTGTTAGTTTTGGCCATTCAGCTCTCTAATCTGTGAAGATCATTTTGAATTCTGATCCTGTCTTCTGGAGTATTCTCTCCCCCTCCAATTTGGGGTCATCTGCAGACTGGATTGGCATGCCATCTATACCGTTATCCAAGCTATTGATACAGATATTGAACAGCCCGGGGCCCAGGACAGACCCCCTCTTTATGGCACCCCAAAGAGTACTGATCTCCAGGACTGGGGTCCCTTTTTCCAGGTTATTGCTTCAGAACTGTCCACGAGTCCAGGAGGGGATTCAATATCCCCTTGGAAGCAGCAACCAGTAAAAGGAACCTCAAAAAAAGCCCAGACAACTTAAAGTGGTCTCTTGCCACTTATGAAAGAGGCGGGGGCTGCTGGACCTGGTTTTGAATTACCCCCACCCCCTTATATCTTCCGATCTGTCGTTCCCTTGGTGAATCCGGCTTCATTCCAGCCCCTCTTGTGTGGGCGAGCACAGAAATCTGACCGCAGCTGTTCTGCCAGTGGTAAACAAATATAGTAATTAATGAAATTGCATTTATATAATGCCATACCCTCAAAATACATTCTGAGGCGGCTTCTCTAACTCTGTTGTGAAGAAGTTATGAGCATAAAGGCATGAACTGCTTTCTTGTTGCCTTTAAGAAAGGTTGTGCCCCACAGCTATTGCTACAGGGTTGATCATCCTGGGACAGCGTCTGGGTCTACACTACATGATACAGTCAGTGTGGATCCATATACTGCACTTTAACTGCATTGAACTGCACTATGTGACCCTACACTGACCCTATACCGTTTCCAGCTGCATTATATGGCAGTGTCGATGGGGCCTTAGCCAAGACTGCTCTGAAATCTGAATACCTCCAAATAGATTCATGTCTGGGTGCCTCTACAGTGTCAAAAGAATGGGATCCTGGGAGTTGTAGTTTGACAAGGTATTTTAGCCTTCTGTCAAATCGTGCTGCTGCCTCACTAAACTACAAGTCCCAGGATTCCATAGTATTGAGCCAGGGCAGCTAAAGTGGTGCTGAACTGCACAAACACCAGTGTTTTATTAATATTAATAATGACAATTTGTTAATAATAGTAATTATATATTATTCGTAATATTGATCATAATTAATAAAAATTATTGCTATTATATTAATAATAATGTATTACTGGAATCATGTACCATCTCCAGATTGTTTTGTAACAATTCTCTTTCATTCTCACAGACCTATTTCTCATAATTCTGTTTCATTTTTTAAAAAACCATTGCTTTTAATGAGACTCAAAGCAGTGTGTAGATGGAAACCAAAGGAAAACTTCCTCAAAGCAAGACACAGAGTCTGATGTTTCTAGGCTATTTAGGCCAGATATCACAGCCCTATGTATTTTAATTTGTTGTGTAGGTTGGAACCTAAATGAATTAAAAGGCATCCAGCAGAGGGCAGACATCTGATAGATAGGTCAAGCTTCATGTTTGCTTTGCATTGGAAGTACTAAACACGTCTGCTCCAAAAGAGGAAGGTGCATCTACACTGTTGAATTAATGCAGTTTGACGCCACTTGAACTGCCATGGCTCTGTGCTGTATTATCACATACGGATGTCATGCGATTGCTTGGAAAATGGGACCCAAGTCAAGAAATAGACCCCTTTGCAGGTTATACACAATATTTTCAAATCATTTTGTCATTCTGAGCAAGGGGTGTTCAACTTGTACTAGAAATCATCTTAAAGGGGAAGTTCACATTTGTTCTCGAGAACCAAACATGTAGAGTTGGTCTTAGGTGGAAGTCGCTTTAAGAGGCCAATCATCACTTAAGGACCCCCCCCCCCCCGTCCTTTTTGTTCTCCTTGATTTGGAATATACAGTATTTAATGTATATAGATGTGAACACACTATGTTGGTTTGTATGTTTGTACCTCATGTGCTCCTGTGTTGCTTAATAGATTGGGACCAAACTTTGCACACAGACGCTTCACAATCCAAATTAAAATAATGGATGGGTTTGAGCTAAAAAGACACCCAGAGCAGAGGGGAAGCAAAGAAACCAAGTGGATTGGCTACAGCTAGGTGAAGTGTCCCCCTGTGATGTCACTGGGGAAGAAAGGGATCAAAGCAGATTGGCTGCTGCACAGTGACATGTGCACGAGGGGAAGAATGGAAGAGAAAAAGAAGGAAAAGGAGGGGTGGGAGAAGGAAGGAAAGGAGATATAGAAGACAAAGAAAGGGGGGGGGTGAAGGTATGAAGGGAGAGAAGGAGGGAAAGAAAAAGGAGGGAAAAGAAGGGAAAAAGAGGAAAAGAAGGGAAGGAGGGAAGAAAAAGAAAAGAAGGAAAAAGTGAAGGGAGGGAAGGAAGAAAAAGGGAAAGAATGAAGGGAAGGAGAGAAGGAAACTGAAGAAAAAGGGGGGAAGGAAGGAAGAAAGAAAGAAAAAGAAGAGAAAGAATGAAGGAAGGAGGGAGGGAAGAAAGAAAAAGACGGGAAGAGAAAGGAGGTAAGGGAAAGCAAGCAAGCACAAGTGGGAAAGTGTATGAGGGAAATCAAGGTAGAAGGAAAGGAAGGGGGGATGAGGGAAAGGAAAGAAAGAAAAAGCCAAATAGGAAAAAAAGGGATGACTACAGAGAAGAAAAAGAAGGGAAAGGAAAGGGAGAGAGAGGGGGAGGAGGTGTGTGAGGGGAAAGGGAGGGCGGAAGGAAAGAGCCAGAAAGGAGGGAGTGAAGGAAGGACGAAAAAGAAGGGAAAGGAAGAAAAGAGAGGGAGAAGGTATCTGCAAAAGGAAGAGCACAAAGAAAAATGCCCGGGATGTACACTTCGGCCCCTTCCACACAGCTGAATAAAATACCACATTGTCTGCGTTGAACTGGAATCGATGGCAGTGTGGATTCGGACCACCCAGTTCAAAGCAGATATGGTGGGCTGTCTCTGCCTTGAGATTCTGGCTGAGAGGGCTGTGCGGAGAGAGCCCGCGCGAGGTGGGGTGAGGGCGCGTCCTTCCGAGCCCCGCCTGGCCTCCCTCTCACGGCTGAAGAGGCGAGGCGGCGGCCAGGAGGCGGCAGGCGGCGGTCGAGCCCAAGTCGGAAAAGAGGGGGGGACTCTTTCCGGAAGGCGCTGCTCCCCCTTACAGCCACGGCCCCTTCGCACTGAGTGGGACCTCTCGGAATGTAATGAAAAGCCACGTCACTCGTTTCCGGCTCCTGCCGATCTCAAAATGCTGGAATGTGTAATTCCCCGTCCACGAGATGCCAACTCCTCCCCCGAGGCTGGCACTTGGTACGTCCCAGCTCCCTCCCTGCCGCCTATTGGTCGCGGCCGGCCTCCAGGAAGCAGGCGCGCGCGCGCGGGGCCTGGGACCGCCTGGTCCGCAGCAGCCGCTGCTGCGATGCATTGTGGGGCAGCGGCAGCAGATCCAAGATGGCGGCCAGCAGGAGGCTGATGAAGGTAAGACATCCAGGCGCCGTGGCGGAGCAGGGCCCGAGAGGCAGGCGGGAGGCGAGGGGGTGGCGGGGGAGCGCGGGAAATGCTTAGAGGGCCGCCTTCCACACTGGGCGTCTCCTCTCTCTTGCCTTTTCGAGCTCATTTTCGGCTCAGACCGTCGCCGCTTCCGCTTCGCCGGCGCCTTGCGGGGGGGGGGGGAGGAGGAGGAGGAGGAGTGACTGGGCCTCCGCGGCGGGCTTTCCTAACGCAGCCTTCCCAAGTTTGGGAAGAGGAAGGGATGGCCTCTCCTTGCTCTCCTCAGTCCGGAGTGACTAAGCAAAGGCAGGCAGGCAGGCGGGGGGGGGGGGAGGTCCTGAAAGGCCACCTCTCCCTCCCTTCGGCCAAGGCGCCGAGGAAAAGGCTTCCCATCCAAGTCGAATCCCGCTTTCCCCGAATCCTCTGGACTGGACCCGAAGCCTGCCTTATTCCCATACCTTTTGCATCTACATTCCAATATCCTTAGGAGATGGGGGACCAAGGTTAAATTCGAAATCTTTTTACGCTTCATAGATATTTAGCTTGAAGGGAGTTTTAGATCCAATCTTGTAGATATTTTGGTGCCTGAAACAACCTTTGGGCCCATTGAGCCACCAGGAAGCAGCGGGGTCACACTCTCAGCCACGAAACGCGCCGATGCTGCATAGACACCTTGCTTGAAGGGAATTTTAGGGCCTGAAGTAATACTTGGGTCCATCAATCATTTAGGAAGCAAAAGGGTCACTCTACAGGGCATGCTTACCCTGTAGAATTGACGTGGTTTGACACCACTTCAACAGCCATGGTTCAATGGTATGGAATCCCAGGAGTTGTAGTTTTGACAAGATCTTTCACCTCTGCCCAAGAAAGCTGGCACCTCACCATACTACAGTTCCCAGCATCCCATAGCATTGTAGATAGGGGTTCAAGTGGCATCAAAATGGCATTCGTTTGACAGTATGGATGCACCCAAGGTCAAAGAAGACCTGACAACAGTTTACACCAAACAAGGTGCATCTACACTGTCAAGCGTGGACACCACTTTAACAGCCATGGCTCGATGCAGTGGCTTCCTAAAATTGTGATTTTACAATGTATTTAGGCATTTCTACTAAGAGGGCAAACTACAACTCCCAGAACCCCATAGGAGTTGAGCCAACGCAGTTCAAGTGGGGTCAAACGGCATTCATTGGACATGTAGATCAGTGGTTCCCAAGCTATTTGGCCTTCCGTTCCTAGAATTCCTTCCAATTGGCCAAACTGACTATGACTTCTGGGAGTTGAAGGACCACAGGTTGGGAACCACTGGTGTAGGTGGACCCTCTGAACTATTTTGGAGCATTTGGGACTTCCGGATGAGAGAGGCCCTGTGCCACAAAAAGAGACTCTTGGGGAGTGGCCCTTCCTGGCAGTCAGAAGGTGCTGTGCCTCTTCATTCCTGAATACATTCAGTCTTCCTCGTATTAAGGCCCTTTGTATATCTTTTTAGAAAGCGTTGCTTTTCTGTATTGAGTCTCTATCCCACTTTTGCCTCAAAAGTGAGATGCTAGTTGCTCTGAGGAAGCAGACACTGAATTCAGATAGAGGTGATCCTTCAAAGGGATTGAAGCAGTTGCTTTTATTGGACATGGGGGTAATGGGCGACTTACAGGGAGGGCGACTTAGTCTTATGTGGGTCCCGAAAACCTTGTGTGACTCACAAATGGTATAAGCCTTCACTGAAGATAAATCCCCTCCATTCAGTGGGGCTTACTTTCACCGAACAGCAGGCCTATACTGAGAGCACATTTCATTCCCCCAGCCAGAACATAGTGGGCAGATTTATCTCTCAAGGGGCTTGATTTTTTGTGGTGTACTCTCCTTTCAAGGATAAGAGAACTGGGGGCATTTTTTCTCTGAGGGAACCATTCAAGAGTGGTGAACTTTGACTTGCAGTGAAGGCTGTTTCATATAATAAGCCTCTTCAGTTTCTATTTCCCGGTTCCTCAGACTGATAAAAAGATGACTTCGCTGTATATTGTGCCATAACAGATTGCACAAAATTGCAAGCCAGGCTGCAGCAATTCTTGTGTGACATTGACTTTTCAAAGGGGGGGGGGGTACTTTTGTTTAAAGTCTATTTTAGGACCATCCTAGAAGAGGCATTTCCCTTTTTCCTCTTTGACTTGGAGGAATGTGTCTTCTGAAATACATAACATGATAGACCTATCATCTGAAAAACCAAGAATGCTTTTTTTCTTGAAAGCCCTTCATTCTTATTTCTACAAATATGTAATTGATTGATTTCTGAGATTAGTTGCCAAACCAAATTTCCTTATAGTTGGATGACAGATCTCAGTAGGATTCTGAATACATTTAGTGAATAGGATTTGCTTGTCCAGACTATGGAGTCCTGAATTCAATAATGATGTTATTTAAATTGTTTTTATTCTTAGGCTTGACTTTAGTTTTGGAACAGAACATTTCCCCATGTAGACTAGACAAGAAGGGACTGAGCCGCTCCTGAAATGATTTGGCAAAATTGGACCACCAAGACTGTTATGTAGGCGCCTCCTCAGGAATGATCAGTCAGAAGTGTACTAAATGATCAAGCACTGATACATGTTAAAACAATTGTTGACATTGATCCTTCTTGGGAATAATAAAGGCTGGCTGCAGTGTATTTTGTGCACATAAACTTGGGAATAGCTTACCCTGAGCACATGGAGAACACTTTATGCTTGTAGCAGTCTTCACATTTGAGGATGTTGCAGTGGTAATGGTTCAGGAAAGTAGCTTCTCTCCCTGGAAGTCGGCCGAATAAAGAATCATGTATTCACAGTTGTTAACCCCCATCTGAAAACAAGCTCTGAGGTCTCTGTGACTTATGGGAGCCTTGTTTATTTATGTGAAATAAAAATTAATGCTTTTGTGTTTCCAAAAATTAATAACATGTCCTGTTTTATTTTATACTTTCCCCTTTATTACAGTCTCTTCCTGTGGTGTTGATAATGCCATAATGACAGCCTTGTGGAGTTCTAAGAGAGCAACAGTAATTCTGAGGAACAACAGGGATGATTGTTTCTCAAACAACTCTGCTGTTCTGTTCTTAATCACTGTGTCCGGTGATTTGCATGTTTGAAATAAATGGAATGCATTCCTTAATACAATTCAATTTAAGAGGCAAAAAAAGGTGCTTACAGATAGGCGTTAATCTGCAAACCACAATGTTCAGGACTTTGTGCATATTAACCCAAAACAGACTTAGGGTGGTGAGTTAGACACCCACTTTGCCATATCAGTGTATTTGACCAGCACAACTTGCTGTCAGAATAACCTGTTTGCTGTGTAGGTGCTAAATAAGCTGTCTGGAGGATTTCCAACCCAACGTTTGACTGTGATGCTGCCCCTGATGCTAATAATATCATGTACAAAATACTCCCACATCTTGTATCCATTTTTGTGTTATGTCACTGCCCATGCATAGCCATTTGCTGCGGCAAAGGAGCCAGCATGCCCAGCATTTGCTGGCTGGAGGACAACCAAGAAAGAAGGCTGATCTTCACTGAAAAGGAAAGTGAAAGCGAACATTCTTCCATACTAATATAGCTGAAAAGTTGCTACACTATTAGTATGCTTGCTGCCATTGGTAATTTAATATCCTAGTGCTAGAACAGATATATGCAGTTTTAACTTAACTTCCTTCTGATCTGTGTGCAATTTTTTTTTGCAGATATTAAATTGCCAATTGTATTGCTCAATGACTATGACTTAAGGCTGTTGTAGCATTTATTTCAGTGGGAGCTTTGTGGAGTCATACCAGGGCTGTATCCTCTGTGTCTGAGTCATGTGCCCATCAGGAAATTCCCTGCCAACTTGCTTCTTACTCCTAGGAACATCATTGGGCTCATGTTAGATCTTGATCCGGAAAGGATCAGCTGGCATCACATAATCCGTGAAAGGAGTAGCACTCTGCCTTTCATCAAACAATATTCTGTGCTTGAAGTCATTTCCAGCTCATCGTAACCCTAAGGCAAAGATATCGCGGGGTTTTCTTGACCAGATTTCCTCTGAGGATGAGCGAATATTACTTGCCCAAGGTCTCACAGAGTCCTGCTCCAACACTGAAACCACTACATAATGCTGCCTCTGTCCATTGCTGTGGTTTTTCATCCTCATCCCCCTATTTACTTGGACATTTAAGTAAGAGTTAGATTAACACTTAAATTGAATATATCTGCTTTCCCATCTGCTATAGGGGAAATCTTGCTTTCTGTAGTCTGAAATAAACATAGCTAGTTTTGTAAGAAAAATGGCTTCAGGTCCTATTGTATGCAACCTGACGTAGCAGGACTTTACTTTGAAACTGAGTTTCTCAAACAACCTGTCATTATAAGCTGTGTTCCTATTATGGGTTTTGGAGAATGATAATAATAACAATAATACTTTATTTATAACCCTCTCTATCTCCCCAAAGGAACTCATGTATGTATAGTACTGGTGGGGAATATAAATGCAAATTTCTGTTCCTCCTGCCCAGTAGTTGGAGGGGATGAGGTTCATAGCCCAGTAGCCTTTAGACTACCACTGGCTTCTTATCCCATAGAGTAAAATATATCTTGAGGTGTTCTATTATTTGAATATAGTGGTTACTTACTGAAATGGTTGAAACAAGTAAAGATATTCTACCACTAGCCAGCACTGCCCTCATATTTTTAGTGGTTTGTTTTCAGGTTCTGTTCCCCCCCCCCCCCCCCAAAAAGAACTTTTTCATGCAGGCATTTTACCATTACTTTTTGAAAGCCTGTACAGGCAGTTCCAAAGTTACAAACAAGACAGGTTCTGTGGGTGTCTTCTTAAATTGGATTTGTATGTAAGTCAGAACAGGTGCATTTTTAAGCGTAACTCCAACCAAAATATGTATGTTTTAGCTTTGGATAGCATAGGGAAGGGTTAACATTACTGTCATGTTTTGCTGTCTGTGTCCCTGTTCTGAAGAGTTCACCTCA